GATTTGGATATTCCTCAAAAATCTACAAATAGAACTACCACGTGATCCAGCAATCCCATTCCTTGGTATCTACTCAAAGGAAAGATGAATTCTTCATTGGAAAAGTGCTTGCACATCGATGTATAATGAGGCACTATTCACAATTGCTAAGACATGGAACAAATCCAAATGCCCCTGAACAGATGAACGGATTGAAAAACTGTGGCACATATACTCTATGGAAAACTATTCAGCCATAAAAAACAACAAACATCTGGCTTTTGACAGAAAGTGGAATAATATGGAAGATTTACTGCTGAATGAAGCAAGCCAGGCTATGAAGGAGAGACATTGTATGTCCCTACTTAATATATACCGAGTGTCTGCACTCTGACTGAAACTGACTGACTGTTTGGATATCCAAACACAGTAAATGGGTGTAAATACCAGATATAGTGTGTGCAGAAGAGTAGGGCCTGAAGAAGGACATTTAGAAGAAAAATACGAAGGCAAAGCATTAATGGGTCAAAGCATTAATGATATTATCTGTTGAACATATTTTTATAGTTTTATCAACTGGACTAGGGAGAAATGCTCACATACTGAAATATTCACTTCATAAGCTAAATAATGTGCTTGAATGTATAAAAATAAAATAAATAAAAATAATAGTTAAAGAAGAGCTGATATCGATTTTATTCAAACTGTTTCAGAAAATTGACGAGGAGGGGATTTATTCAAACTCATTCTTTTAGATCAGTATTATCCTGATAGAAAAAATAGATAAAAACATAAGAAAAAAGCTTCTACAGACCAATATCAATGATGAACATATATATATATATAAAATTTCAACAAAATACTAGCAAACTGAATTCAACAGCATATTAGAAAGAATTTTTTTCCATTTTATAACAAATGAGATTCAGCACATTTTTCTGTCTATTAGCTATTTGTATATATTCTTATTTGAACTGACTTCTCAAGGGTCTTGTCCCTTTTGTTTTCCTCTCCGGATTTTGTGCACGCATGCACATGTGCCCAGCATGAGTTTTAGGACATCGGGTCCAGGACTCTAATTGCAGTAGACTATGAGGGAGTCCAACAATGTAACCATTACGCCATCTGCTGGGCCTGACCACCATGATTTTTTTGTGAGAGGTTTTTGCTATAGGGCACGTTTGCTCACCAGACAGACAGAGAGAGACAGAGAGATAGAAAGCAGGAAATCACCCCCCAGGGGGGATGGCCACGCCGCAATCCCTTCTCCTCCATTCTCCTCTCGGGATCTTGGGCACGTATGCACACGCGCCCGGCGTGAGTTTAAGCCCCCGGGTAAGGGACTCGAACCGCGGTCGACTACGTGGGAGTCCAGCGACACAGCCATTACGCTAACTGCTGGTCCCCTGACCACCATGATTTTCAAGCTGCGAAGTCTGAGTCTCAAACCCCAATCGCCCATGTGGGAGTGCAGCTCCTTAACCTTCACAGTACCTACTGTCCCCATTAGGCCTTGTTCTTAAAATTTTGTAACAAATTCTTTTACAGAGTTACAAAGTAATAGGTCTGGAACCTAAATTCAGGCATTAGAGGATATACTCACATGCACCACACCACTTTTTCTTTAGAATATGGTGAGCAAAACTTTCATTGGTTGTAGATTTTCAAATGTTTATATTCTCTTAGACCTTTCAAATCTTAATTGGTTCTTATTATTAGTTTTCTTTCTCATTGTGGTAATTTATTTCTAACTCTCCCCCTTCAAGATTGATAAAGTCTTTATAATAACATCACTAAACATTTACTGGTTTTTCTATACTAAATAACTTTTAAGAAACACTCTGTGTTATACTCTTTCCATGCATTATTTTATTAAATTCTCAAAATATGTAGTAATTTAAAAATCTATATTATACATGAGGATTTGAGGCACCAAGTGGATGTGCAATGTGCTAGAGTAAACACAGTTAAGTGGCAGCTGAGATTTAAACTCGTGTAATTTTGCTTTGGAACACATGCTCTCTGTAATGTCATGTACTTCAAATATCCACTTCTTCTGTCCTTTTTCAGTCTCTCAGGTCTGTGTATATTGTGCACTTCTTTATTTCCCAAGCCTGGGCCCAACATGTAACAGACAAATTTTGGGTGAAAATGAATATATGAAAAAAAAGTAGGTGGGTAAAGAAATATGTCAAAGGAGGAAAAGGAAATTTGGGAAAGAGAAAATACATCATACTGTGAATCTGAATACTGGATCCTGACAATGTTAGCTTTAGCATCTTTGCCTGTTTATAATATAGAGAAATAGTGTGTCTTTTGCTCATATGTAGCTGATAGATCAGAGAGAGTAAGAATAATGTGAACAATATTTTGTTTCCAGTGTGAGATGCAATTCCAGGATAGGATAGAGAGTAGTATTCCTTTATAGTCAAGTGTATTTGTATAATAAAATGAAATTGAAGAGGAAATCAAGAAACATTCTTAAGTGTATAGAGAGGGGTGCTTTGGAGAAGATGAAGGAAAGCTAAATCCATGACGAATGAGCAAATTAAGTTTGTGGAAATATACACATTGTTTTTCTGCCCCACATACATAAGGTTGATAGAACACTGAGAAGACTTTTCTTCCTTCTTTCTTAATTCTTATTTCATTATCTTTTTCTTTCATTTTCTTTCTTTCCTTCTTTTTCTTCCTTTATTTTTTCTTTTCTTTCTTTCTTTCTTTCTTTCTTTCTTTCTTTCTTTCTTTCTTTCTTTCTTTCTTTCTTTTTCTTTTTTCTTCCTTCTCTTTCTTACTTTCTTGTTTTTTTTTTCAGCTTTAATACCATGTTTTAAGCCTTTACTAATTTTTGAGATAATCTTAAAAATACTTACTTAAATACTAGTAAAACTTTCTATCATGTACACATGCCACAGTGTTCCTAACAATTTATCTATTTGGGGTATTTGACTTAGTCACAATTTCAGATTATTCTCCAATGCTAGTTTATAAATGAGGAATTTTGAAAAGTTGAGATAAGAGGAAATGAAGATAATATAAAATAGACCAGATCTGAGTACAAAAACAAGATGCTGGCAATTACTACCAGACTTTATTTAGGTGATAAGTTTATAGCACTGGTGGTGTTGGGAGGACACTGGCGAGGTCCTCAAAATCACATAGTGCTACACTGGTAGAGTCCTGTGTCCTAAATAGGCTCCCAGCAGGCGCATTTTTCTAAGAATTCTTATAGTAATTACATGCTATAGAAAGTTTATTTGTGTACTTAGGTTTTCCCTTGCAGGATTAGGTATATCTGTCACCTAAATTCAGTCCAAGAGAGGAAATGTCTCCTATCACTGTCTGTGTCCTTGGAGCTGAAACGAGCACTCAGATGTGTGTCCCTCCTAAGAAAAGGGTGCTCTAATGCACTCTGATCCAGACATGTCACTGAAGAATGGCTTTGGGAGTTGCCATAGACTAGCCTCATTCCAGTACCCAAGCATTAAACTCAGTCATGCTGTTATCTTACATCGAGCCTGACTTCCATCTCCTTGGCATAGTTAAAATGAAGATGCCTCAGTGATTTGTTCTTGTGTATCTATGAAACTTGGCGTAATTTCACTATTAGATGATACTGTGACCTTTCAGAGTGACATTTACTTATTAAGGTTAAATATGATGATTTAGGCAACTTTGAAAATCAAATGCTTTATTGAAGATATTGGCCATACCATTTATTTAAAAAAAATTTAAGCAACAAATATTTTATTATATCTTACAATATCATGAGTCAGAAATTCGTATAGGACTTGATTGGATGATCCTTCTGTTCCTTGAGACATCAACAGAGCTCAATTGATTTGTACTCATTCATATATCTGGCTTCATAGGCATGGCTTCTCTCACACACTTGGCATGTTGGCAGAGATGGCTAGAAGACTGGGCTTAGTTGCACTGGTGGGCCAAAGAGTCTATATGTAGCCTCACAAGCATGAGGCCTCAGGATAGTTGAATTTCTTATCTAGAGGATCAAGGTTTCTAGGATTTGATTTCTAGTGTATAAGAGAGAATCTATATGACCGTTTATGGACTATACTCATAAGTCACAAAGCACCACCCTGCCTACCCCATTAGTCAACACAATCGCAAACTCACAAATGTCAAGGGAAAAGTATATAGATCCTCACGTTTCTATGAGAAGAAATCCAAAGAATTTATGGAAATGACTAAATTGCCCCACTCTTCCTTCTGACCAAAAATTATTTTTTTTCTTCATGCAATATATACTTATCTCTTCCAAAGACCCTTCAAAAGTTTCATCCCATATGATGTTAAACTCAGGTCAAGTCCAGGATCTCATCACCTATATCAAAGTGAGGTATTAGTGAGGCTTCATGCATTTTCCTGGTTTCAGATACTCTTGATTGAAAATTGTAAACTAAAGAGACTAATTATCTATTTCACACGTAACCAATGTACAGTGATGAGAATAGCTGCAATACATATTCCTATTAAGTAGAGGAAAAATATAGTATGCCACCATTCCATTTAAACTCTAAAATATTTGGGGAAGAAGTAAGAAAGGGTGATATTGGTTGTAAGAGGCAAAGTTACAGACAGAAGGAAAAACTTCTAGGTTTCTATAGTATGGAAGGGTGGCTATAGTTAATAGTAATATAGCGTACATTTCAAGATAACTAGAAGAGAGGATATTGAATGTTCCCAACACAAAATAGCAATAAATGTGATGTGATGAATATGCTAAGTACCCTGATTTGACCATATATATATATATCATATTCATATATTGAATGTCTATCATTTTCTTATTCCCATGCAATACATACTGGGATATTAATGCAATATTAAAAATATTACAAAGTATAGTTCAGATGTCTCATACAAGTTCTTGTAAGATCTCACATGGTATTTGATTTGCTAACATGCCTCCTTCCAAAATTTCAGGGGATATAAGAAATGTTCTCTCGAATTTACTTTTTTATTTTATATCACCTTTATGTTCTACATATAGATGAATTCTAGCTCTTGAAAAACTGCTGTTGACCAACTCTCACAATACTAAACAGCTTTCTTATGGCCTTCTTCATTTCCTTATTCCGGAGGCTATAGATCAAGGGGTTGAAAAGTGGAGTCAATACAGAATAAAACAGAGTTACAATTTTCTGGATCCCTGCCGGATTGCCTGCTGTAGGGCTCACATACATCACCATGATGGAGCCATAGAACAGGGACACTACAGCCAGATGGGAGCCACAGGTAGAGAAAGCCTTCCTCCGGCCTTCCACCGAGGGCACCCTGAACACAGCTCTAATCACTGAGGTATAGGAGCTGGTAATGAAGAGGAATGTGGAGAAAATCAGGACTGAGTTAAATATGGCACAAATGGCTTCAGTGGTAGAAGCGGGCTCACAGGACAACTTCAAAAGAGGCCCTGGGTCACATAAGAAGTGATCAATAATGTTGGGGCCACAAAAAGGAAGCTGGGAGATGAGATAAACTGGGAGGAGAAAACAGGAGAAGCCACCAATCCAGCAGCAAGCTCCCATTCTGATGCAGCGTCGGACTGTCATGATGGTGGTGTAATGCAGGGGCCTACAGATAGCGAGGTACCTGTCGAAGGCCATGACAGACAAGAAGAAGGTCTCTGTGGTGCCCATGGAGAAAAAGAAGTAGAACTGGAGGAAGCAGCCAGAGAAGGAGATGGTGTTAATGTCAGACAGAAAGTTGGCTAACATATTGGGGACAGTAGATGTGACATACCAGATCTCCAGGAAAGAAAAATTGGCCAGCAGGATGTACATGGGGTTGTGAAGATGATGGTCCATCCACACAGCACAGATAATGCAAAAATTTCCAATTAGCGTCAGTCCGTAGATCATAGAGAAGACTGAGAAGAGAAGGATCTGAATCTCCCAGGTACAAGGGAATCCAAGAAGGATGAATTTACTCACAGGGTCAGAATGATTATGTCCTTTGGGGTTATACATTTGTTTCTCCTGACACTGCAATAATATGTTACAAAACAGAAATTTTCTTACTAAGATATTCCATAAATTTCTGACAACTCATTGAATAATGTAGTTTCAGGCCACTGAAAATTTTCAGCACTTTTTGTCCCAGTGTGATGCTGAGAAGAAATCAGGAAATCACATTTTGGGGTGTGGATTCCTATTATAGACCCACTGTGGTGATCACCATATCCATCATGGTCCATCTGACACTGCCTTTATTAGGGTCCTCAGCGCTGCATGAAACAAGGTAGGTGCTCTTTTGCCATTCAGGCACTTACAATCTAGCTCAGAAACAGCAATGTGGGACAAACTTATATAAGGACACGAGGAAGTTTAAATAATTTTCACTTTAAGATATGAATAGACAGTAGAGAAAGGGCTGGTTTGATGGTGTAGCCACTGCTCAAGAAGTGCTGATGTGTGGGCAAGATTGTAGGTTCAGTTCCCTGGATGATCTGCAACCATGGGTACGTGTGCTCATGATCCTGGTTGGCTGGAAAGTGGAAGATGCAAGGATGGGAGGAGACCATAGTGCGAGAACCAGTTAAAGGTTATCTTTCTCTCTTTGTGTCTCACTTTCAATGAAATAAGTAAATAAACAAATACATGTAGAGAAGAAGATATTGCAAGGATGTATATCCACAAAGAAAGGGTTCATTTACTACCATATCCTTAACAATATAACATGCCTCCTTTTCTTTCATTTTATGGAGTATTGGGAGTGTTAGGAAACAGATAAGGAAAATGACTTTCAGTGAATGATTGCCTGTAGAAAAGCCCACTCCAAAGTTAGTGTGCCCTTTTTATTTTGAAAGCTATCAGTAATAGAAATTCCACTATTTGAATCGTAAATTTCTCTGTTTAATGCCATATGCACAATTATCCAGAGTATCCTTTATTTAATTTATTATTTATTTATTTATTTATTTATTTATTTGTTTAGGAAAGGTTTTGGCTATAGGGGTGCATGTGCTTACCAGAAAGACAGAGAGAGACAAACTGACAGAAAGGAAGAAATCACCTTCCCCTGGAGGATGGCCACACCGCCATCTCTTCTCCTTCATTCTCCTCTCTGGATCTTGGGCATGCACACACAAGTGCTTGGCGTGAATTTAAGCCACCGGGTCTGGGACGCGAACCTCGGTTGATTACATGGGAGTCCAGTGAAGTAGCTATTACACCAACTGCTGATCCCGTATTTTTAAAATTTACACGTAATTACTGTACATCTTTACAATGTATAACATGGTTTTTCTCAGCCTGAATACAACACACATTAGTCAAGTCAAAAACATTACCATATATATAAGCATCAGCAGATAAGTTTTCATTCTTGTGTCTATTATGTGTGCTGTTTATTTTTGCCCTTATTTCCTTCTTCCCACTCCCTAATTCTCATTCCTTCTTACCCCCCACCCCCCAATTCTGTCTCTAGTACCTGCCACTGCCCTCCCTGCTATTATATCTTCCAATCTTTTTGCTTTTAGAAAGATTTTTTGCTATAGGGTGAGTACACTAGCCAGAGAGACAGAGAAACAGAAAGGGAGAAATCACCGCCCACCCCCCCCCCCCCACACGCACACCC